CGGTCTCCACATGGGATCCGAACCCTCGGCGGCGCTCCGCCGCGCTCCCAAGCGGCGCACTCTCCAGTGCGCCACCGGGCCGGCCCTGCATGTATGTCTTAAACTCAACATTTCATGCAGCTTGGTTCCATCTTAGTTCTTCATCAGATTTCACAGATAAAATTCTCTCACAACTTTTCTGGAGTACATAGCCCTGAACAAATAGTGAAATAAAATCATTGATAATATAGTGCAGTATAAAAATTTTATGTTGGAGGAGGATGGGGAAGAGGGAATTCTATGGGATTGAGAATGGAGTGTATTTCAAATAAAATAAATTAGGGGTTCTTTGGGACTCTGAGTATCCACAGATTTGAGACTTAATTTTTTGCTTAGCATACTATTCATTTGTAATGAGGTTTTCACTAATAAGACGATTTCTTTTTTTTTCCTGACAATTGCTGTCATGGAGTGAGAAGTATGTCCCCACTGTAGCAGGATTCTTAACTGCAAAATGGGAGCTGTGCTTTTTGAGTTCATGTAAGGTCCTCAGTACATTTTATGTGTGTTGATCCTGTCATGGCACACTTTCCTCTTTGCCTCGCTGTCTCCATTTGTGAAATATGATTAAGAAAGTGGCCTCCCTCCCAGGGCTGCTGTGGGAATGACTCGTGGCTGGGCAGGAGTCGGTGCAGTGCCGCGTCCTCTCAGTGCTTCAGTGCATTTTACGTGGATTGTTCTCAGGGACTAATTTTCAAAGCAATATGGCAAGGTGGACAGAAACCTTTTCAGAATGTTGGAGAAAATGATTACTTATGTTAGTCAACAGTCTTCACTTCTTCACCTGAAAATGGAGGCAATGTTGACCTTTGATCATGTAGCAAATATAATATTTCAGAACCTGAATGCGGACTGGCTTATTTGTTGTGGTTAAGGACTAGGTTCTAGTAACTCAAATATCAATTGAGATCATGATCATTATTAGTAACAGATGCATACAGTTTTCTGTGCACTACTCAGGAATAAAAGACATAAGTAAAAATGGCAACAGTCCTTCAGAGTAACAAGTTTTATTTTACATATATCAGAACCAGCTTAATATTCATAGAACACTATGAATCCAAGCACAGTACAGATGTGAACTTGAAATGCCCAGTGTGGCATTATGTGCTTTAAAACATCACTAGTAACACAGAATTCCTGCTTAAGATGGCAGTTCATTAGGGGAATCCAGTTGTCTTAGTCTGCTCAGGCTGCTACAACAGAATACCATAAATAGGGTGGCTTATAAACACTAGAAACTTATTTCTCATAGTTCTGGAGGCTGAGGAGTCCAAAATCAATTTGTCAGCAGATTTGGTGTTAGATGAAGGCTTTCCCAGACAGTTGTCTTTTTGCTGTGTCCTCATGTGGCAGTGGCGGCTGTCTGGGTTCTCTTTTATAAAGGCACTAATTCCAAGGGCAGAGCCGTGGTGACCTAATTACTTGCTCTCCTCCTAATACCACCACCTTGGGTGTTAGGATTTTGACATATGAATTTTGGGTGGCAGTGGCGGCTGTCTGGGTTCTCTTTTATAAAGGCACTAATTCCAAGGGCAGAGCCGTCGTGACCTAATTACTTGCTCTCCTCCTAATACCACCACCTTGGGTGTTAGGATTTCCACATATGAATTTTGGCAGGCATGTTCAGTCCATAGCATTCCACTCCTGACCCCCCAAAATTCATGTCTTTCTCACATGAAAAGTATATTCATTACATTCCAGCAATTCCCAAAGTCTTAATTCATCCTAGCATCAACTGTAAAGTCTAAAATCCAAAGTCTTGTCTAAATCTCATCTACGTCAGATATGGGTTAGTCTGAAGGTACAGTGCATCCTGATGCAAATTGCTCTCCAGTTTTGAAACTAAACAAGTATGTGCTTTCAAAATAAAATGGTAGAACAGGCATAGGATAGACATTCCCCTTTCAAAAGGGAAAAAATGGGAAAGAAGAAAGGAATAGCAAATCCCAGTAAGTCCAAAACCTAATGGGAAAAATTTCATTAGAACTTAAGACTTGAAAATAGTTCTCTTTGAGTCTTTGCTGTGCCTTTCAGGCCCACTGTGGCAATGTCACCCCTATGTCTTGGTGGGACAGCT